AACTCGTGTTACCGAGAACGCCAACGTCACAGAATCTACTATCGCATGGAGCATTTCGTATGAAGTATCATAAACGACGTTAAATGGGCAGCGTTTTTTCGTCTCGCCCAGTCCGTTGATGTCTTACCTTATCCTTCTAGCCTTCAACCTCAGCTGCAAAGGAGAGAACTGAGGTGCAATTGAACTGTCCTTCCAGATTCATGCAGACTAAAACGGCTTTGAAATCTCATTAGTCTTTCTAGACTCGTTCTGCCAAACGCTGCCGTATCGGTGCTCTTTCGTGCTCGGAGGAATGGGGCACATTTGTTTTACTGTGTTTATCTACTGATACCCACCGGTAGTTTACTGTTCTATCAGCGTAGAGGCTACGTGCGCTGACGGATATCGAGTCAAACTATCTCATACTGGACATGGAGCTTAGTTATTCGAAACAACTCCTAACCATCTTCTATGTACTTCCCTCCAGTCACTAGGTTTTTGGCAGAAATAAATTGCTGGAGATATCTGCATAAACGAGAACTCACCGACACCTATGCATGATTGCGTGCTCATAAATGAAGGAATGTGTACCAAATCGGACCAGAAGAAACAGAATGCATTTACTGTTCAGTGATTCCATGGATCGCTGATAGCACATTTATGCTGGGCCGATAGCTTGTCAAACACATATCTTATGTCATTTGTAGCCCGAGAAATGCTATTCTCTACACTTAATAACTTATAAGAACTGATTTTCACACGAGTTCATGGATGATGACCTAGCTGATAATTGACAGCTACTTCGTTCTAGTCACTATTATGCATCATAGTTACCGTATGGAATGGGCTAGTATAAAAAAACCGAGGCAGATACAAAATAGTTTTGATAACGCTTCCAAATGCTGACATCCATGTGGTTGTATGATGCAACTTAATAACGTGTATAAAATAGTAGTGTATATGTTATGCATTCTTTAGAACCATGAAGTAAAACCTTTTCCGGATTTTTTTGCGGGTTTTAGCACCTACGAGACAGCATCCAATTTTGTGTTGCCGGAGCATTGGATGACTCCCAATTTTCATCCTTTACAATTTTTCGGTCACTAGAAGAATTGATGGGTTAAGAACATAACAAAATTGGGGAGGAATCTTTGCTTCATTGCTCTAAACGTCTGCATAATTTTTATGCTACTGTTTACTACACGGTGTGGTGCACCTTACAAACACACTACTGTCACCACATGTGTTTAGCTGCTTATGTTGAGTCCATATACTTCCTATACCCTCTCTTTCTATGCGATATCTGGGATTCATTGCGGTGACTGCAAATGAAATATAAACTATTGATCTGTCGCTAAGAATATAATATAGGAAAGAAAATCTTTTCGCAAAAATAAACCACCCGTAAGAGTACAACTTTCATAGAGCTCATATAGGCTACAATCTCTCCACGCGTGTAAAGCCTGTGGCGGTTACTTCGTCATATTGTGTTAGTTAATCTGATTATTAATACCCTGGGTTGTTGCAGACTGTTTTTGAAATGTGGGGTGCGTGTGGCGTAGTGATCGGAGGCGCCCTGGGGCACACACTTGGAATCGATCCCTGCGCCAATGGCTCACCAAGCCTTCCATCTTTCCGGGGTCGGCAAATTGGTACCAGACTTGTTTGGGAGGATAGCAGCACTGGCTGGATTCGTCGGTAGGTCACAGCGAGTCATTGTAAAGGCCAGATATGCATTCAATCACCTCCAAACGATGCTTAATGGAGCGAGTCGAATGTGCAGCGCATACTTCAGGGATTGATCATCACCGAGAGCTTTATGCTTTATTTTTTATTTATTTTTGATTGGTTTTACTGCATTATATTGTATTTCAAGGTAACCTGCCAGCAAATTTCTTCATTTCTGCTATCTGTAAACTTCTGCTTATTGGCGTATCTTTATCGTTCATATTTTATTCGTTCTATGTGCATCAGTACAGTCACACATTGATGGCGTGCTCTATTACGAAAGTGGTGAGGTTTCCATTTTTCTATTTGATTTTGATATTTTGTACATTTCTGGAACAACGATATACGTAAAAAGTCAATGTCTATTACTGTTTCCTTATTTACCTCATATTATTTGACTAACTCAGATGTGGAGCAATTGTTAGGATTCGTTTTTTCTTCGCTCGCATCTTATTTCTTAACTAGAATGTTCAAGAACTCAGGAAGATAAGGCAATTTGTATCTTCTGGATTAGTTTTAATTTGTTTGTTGGAGTTACTTTTTTTCGTTTCTTATAGAAACTAATTTAGTTGTTTTGGTCTGCGAATCTCGGTGCTTTCATCAAAGGACGTGACCTGACATATCTTCCTCTACCACTAGCCTTAACATACAGTATTGCTGTGCTCATCGATCTTCTACCTATGTTCGCATGGTCTCAGTATTTTCCTCCAAAGTAAGTGTTGAAGTTTTGTATGCTGTTATTGGTGACCATTCTACGGTTTGCCTAGTGTTTTCTCGTGTTATTATTTTTTGTTACATTCAAATACTGTTAAAATGCAAGCGAGCGAATTGATTTTATGGGTCCAAAAATTAGAAAGCTAACATTATTAATTCCAGTATTAATATGGAACGAGGCATATTCTTAATGCCATTGCTTTGTTTTTAATGAACGCTCAAAATCTGGAAAGAAAAGAGTGGATAGTTAATTTTTTGGTGTTATTATTCATATCTGCTTTTTAAACTCAACTAAAAGCCGCTCCTCTCTCACCCACTTTCGTGTCTTCTGTTTCCTCTTCAAGTTCTTCCTATCCACTGAACGCTGTAGATGCGTCGCCATCGGAAATCTATTCGTCCCAACACCCCTGTATAACGCCAAGGATTTTTACTTGGTTTAGTATTTTGTTTGTTTCACCTTTTTCTTAGGTTCACTAAGGTATTTTAAAGTATAACATTGAGCACAGCTCTGGGCTGTCATCCCTTATCGGAAAATTGGTAAGGGACTTGTTTGGGAAAAGTTCACCCTCTGCAATTAAAGTGGGAATGATCTAGTCTGGTGATCTCAGGCCTCTAGGGAGAATCGACTCATCCAGCATTCAACGACATTCTTGATGAAAGGGAATTTCTCAAACACCAGTCGAAGCCACGGCTAAGGAGTTGGAAAACCTTTGTGGATGAAAGATGCGAGGAAACGGTTCGAATGCGAGAAGTACTAGAATCGGCACTGTAGATGCGATGGACGAGTAGTGTAAAAACCAATACCGAAAAAAGAAAATTCTTTATTGGAATTTCCTGAGAAATTAAACCAGCGAAAGCTAACTGTATGGGATTAGTTAACGCAAGCCTCGTTTTGAAAAATGATCGTATAAAGTTTTTCGCTTCGGAGGGTGTTCCATATTTTCACCGGAAATGCCTTTTATAGACTTATTCTTTGGGTCATCTAAGGAGCAGCTTTCTATATAAGTATATACTGTTAAGTGTAGGGAGTAGTTTTTTGGTCCGACGCATAGTATAGTATACTGACCTATGCCGAAAAAAACTCCCTGATTGGATACGAAAACTACAGCAAAAAACTTCTGTGTGACAAAATTAGCAACTGCATTGGAAATGACTCAGTAGCAGTTCATGGTAATCAATATGTGTTCTCACGTACAGGTATTAGAACTACACCTAAAAACGTGTTTGTCTTTCATAGAACGTACAAAAATGGCGAACTAGTGTTCTTCATGATGGACTTCGTGCTTACATCAATTATTTTCCTTGCAACAATGTGCACATCAACACTACGGAGAGACTCCCAATCGGTAGGTTTAGTTTTTTTCAAATCTCATGTATTTCTTTTTAGGGGCCGTTAACTTGGTTTGTTTAACGATCCGTATGAGACCTGTCTCATACAGGCTAGCTTTTGCCCCATCCTGGCCACGGGCAGAAATATATACAGTTAAAATTTGCTAATATACGTTGTTTAGAAGTTTTCGTTTTTAATGTATGCTGTATTATAGCATTGAAAGATTAGAATTTTAGTGACTTTTTTTGTACATATTTGAGGTTTATTTATGAATTTTGTATACATGATCGTACTTGTAATGTTTCGGTGGGCCTGGTTCACATCGCTCCTGGCTTCAGTATATTTTCTACTAGGCTCTTTTCCTCACTGTTCTCACCTGTAGTGGCAGTTTGTTTTCATTATAGTGCGAGTCAGCTAATATCATTCTATGGTCCATAAGTGGTTCTCAGCTGCTACTAAAACTAATTTAATAAGTAATTTATAAATAAGGTGATCGCCAATATAGTATGTAGCCGATTTAGGGAGCATTTCCGCTTTCTTCAAAGCCAGTTTATTGCTGCTGTAGCCAATCTATCATTCGTTGTCCTCACCACTCGTTGCTTGTGTCAGCTTTTCGCCTTTAATGTGTCGGATGCCGAAGACGGTATATTTTTCAAAAGTCCGAAATGCACAGGTGTACTGTTCATATTTCTGAAGAGAGGAGAATTCACTGTGCATTATCACACGCGGCCAGAACACATAGGTGCTTCTTCTAGCGTGCGGTGAAGTTACCACATGACCAACTGGAAGACAGGTGAAGAAGGTGGTGCATATCACTAAGAATTGTAGAAGCGGTTCCCACTTCAGATCGAAAGTTTAATGTATGCTATCGGTACCTGAGGTAGTTTTGTGTGGATTTATCACTTTTATCACAGCATGAGTCTAATTGGTCTTGCACAAGGGTTTGATTTGCACACGTATGATCAGAAACTTGGTTTCTATGGTGTTTTTTGATTGACGAATGGTACTTAGGCTTTTAGCCTATGTGAATGATTATGTAGGCTTGAAACAGATGAGTGGCCACTATGTAAGGTTTTTCTTAAATTGCTGTTCCTTTGAGTAGTACATGAAGCAAGGAAGTGTTAAATATGGCTTCGACAATATCTTACTTGAATTTTTCTTGTATGTACTGCCACTTAATAATTTTTGCGTGTTAGTATTTCTTTACTTTTTTGCTCTTTCTCAGTCACTTGCTTTTCCACATTTAGACATGGTCAAATTTTTCGCGAAAAATCTCTTTGATTCTACCCTATGTATGGCCTAAGAAGAGCTTGACGCTACAACTACGAGTTGCTCTATGCCTGTTCTTACTGCTTTTTGGCAGGCTTATCAACTTAGCCCTTCCATTGTACAGCAAATGGATAGGTCCGTTTATTTTCGCTAAAATTTTACCATTTCGAAAGTGTTTTTATACCTCTCATCCCAACGGTTTACCGTGTCATCGTGGCTGGGAGGTGTTCCTGGGTGTCGGGCTGCGATGTACAGCGGGGGCATTCATCCCCCAGCAGAGTCTCCCAAACTGAGTAGGAGTCTGGCGTTTCCATCAGGTAGCCTAGCTAAGAGTAAACCAATAGAAGAATCCACCACCGTCCTGGTATCAAACTAATCGCATGGTGACAAATCTCCCTTCGATTTACAAGGGCGGCGACTGCCTGTGGTGGTGACAACTTGAGCCAGACTTTGCCCAGACTGATCACGGGACTTCAGCGAAGTAGAATCGCTAAACGAGCAAAACTCCGAAAAATGAAGATTATGCTGGGTCCCACACAATCAATGAGGACGGGCCGTCCAATTACCAAGTACCAAGTTTTGTACATCTTTTTTGGCTTAGATTGTGAAATTGTTTAAAGTTGTTCGCTCACAGTGCGGAGTAGTCCAACCTTCTTAAAATGACAACTAAAGTCCAGTTTTTGAACTATGCTACATTTATTACGTCTTCTGATTATTTCCCGTTCCTATCTCGTTTTACGAAGACTAAACCCGTCGAAGATCAACTGGGGAATAATAAAATATGATGACTAAATGTTTATGTTATTGCTGTTACACGTGGACTTTATGCGTTTTCTTCAGTGGATGGATTGGCAAAGCCGGAAACGTTTCGGTACTCACTGATATATATTTCTACTCTTTTAAAATTTCTGCAAGGAAGTGGAGGTAATAAATTTTGAATCAACCTTATTTTCTCATATTGTAGACCTAAACACTCCAATTTTTCTAGTTTGAGTGTTTATGGAACTTTTTTTTAGCTATGGGAGGTTTTCTAAATACATTGCGCTCGTATATATGGGTTCCTATACAGCAATACACCACTCGAGAACTGGAGGTTCACTGTTTCGTTTTGTTCTCTTTTTTTTAAGTGAATAGTCTTTAACTGTACTGTCCGTACGAGGTGTATGATACAAATCTATCATAACAGTCTTATTTCTATGTTTTAAACATCTTCACAGAAGATTTTTGAAAACCATTTTTAGAAGTTATGAAATGGAAAAGATGCATTTAGAAGTTTTCAAAAGTCGACCTGAATGAGTGTAATGAGAATTCATCCATTCTTAACAAAATTACAGAGCAGAAGCCTACCGAGAAATGAAATTTTCTTAAACCAAAAGGTTAAATTTAGACGAAAATTCGAAATGCCGACTTTTACGTCCTATTTTTTTAACCGGCCTTCTTTTAACCTCAGCGGTAATAATTTTTAGGTCCTGTGTTCTTTATCCGTTTCGCTTTTTCTCAGATTAGAAAAAGTTACTTCAGGTTTTTCGTCAAACGACTTCAAGTCGAAAATATTATAGAATATTTGTGAACACTGCTTTCTATAGAGCACAGTAGCTTTCCAAAGTGCACTTAACTGTATACTGCTAATTAATTTTGAATGACCTAGTTCACTTTTAGATCAGTATCTCTTTAGACAAAGCAAATAAAAATCATTTTTCAATTTTTCGAGACCTAGTTCTAGCTTTAGATTGTAATAAATTAGCATGTAGAGTAAAGGAGCCTAAATTTGTTTTGAAGGTGGAACTTTTCGCGCATCTACACTGTTTGTCTCTAAGGTGGCATTTGTCGCGGAAGACAGGCCTGGTGCTCCGAGTCATGGATAGGGGTACGAGTTCAGTGAACAGCATTTTGAAGTGAGTTGTGCACTACATATTTGGTTTCAAGTTCGAATCCAAAGCCCCGTTCATTCATGCGGCTAATCCCTACATGATTGATTTCTTTGTACCAGAACTGTCTTGGAGGGCAGAAACACTGTTTTGATTTGTCGATAGGCCCTCGTTAATCGTTTAAGCCAAGTATCCACTCGGCAGCCGCTACGGTACTCATTGAGTCGAATTTTTGACGCATCCCTAGGACTAACGGAGAAGGCTTTATCCTCTACTGTTATGTAGTGTATGAAGGAGGTGGATGTGACGCAGTGTGAACTAATCACTAATATCTCTAAACATCTCTTATATGTGCTGTACGTTTCACCACAATGTTGTGAGAGAGTTTTGTGAGACATTGTAGGCTGTAGAATAGGTAGATGTAATGTAATAGTAAGATATTGTTCATTATTACAATTTCAGCTATACTTTGTTCAATATATTGCCAACAATTGCTGATATTGTCATAGCTGTGGTATTCTTTTTCTCAACATTCCAATTCTATTTTGGAGCGATTGTGCTGGTAACGATGGTGCTGTATTTAGGTATATTTATAGTGTCATTTTAATGATTTTTATATCTGTTTATGTTTATGCATATATGTGTTTATGTATGTTATATAGCGCATATATTATGTACTTACAAACGTATATGTTGAGCACCGCGTGTAGCGCAGTGGTCGGAGGAGCCATGCACATGGGATCGATCCCTGCGCCTCAGGCCCACCAAATACTCCATCCTTCCGGGGTGGGCAAATTGGTACCTGGCTTATCTGGGAGGGTAGCAGCATTGGCTCGATACATCGGCAGGCCACTACGAATCATTGTAAAGGCCAAATAACTATTTAGTCACTTCCAACGATACTTAGTAAGGTAGAATGCATGGCGCACCCCTCAGGGGTTGATCAGCCCGAGAGCTTTATCCTGTTTTAAACGTTTATCTTCATCGCATTATTTTTTCGAATGCCGTATTAGCATTACCTTGTGTTCTACAGGTTTCAGACCAAATTAATGGTATTTTCACCTCCTTTTTGGTAATTTCTGTTCAATAGAAGAAATTTTTTCTCAGATAATGACAAAGCCAGACAAGAATTTTCTACCATGAACTGAAACTTAAAAGTAATGAAAGGCAAGAAAATAAGAAAATCTACTTCGACACATATTACGATGTATTTTTTTTGGCCAGTATATTCGAATAAATTCCTTTTTCCTTTTTTCTGTGTTTTATAGGTTAGGTGGCATACACTGTCACATATGATTTTTTTTTAATTTCGAAGGAAAATCGACGAATTCTTTATTAAATTCCAGTCGTAAGGTGATTAAGGAAAGGTGAAATGAAAAAGCGGTAGAAATTAGGAGTGAATCGTACTAAGCAACATCGTTCGTATGCTAGGCCAAATACTATCATAGCGCTTGTGCAATGAGAAGTATTCAATATTGTTGGATGATTGGCAAATAAAATCTGTTTATCTGTCCATGTCCGCTATATGAAGTTTTTTTTTTTAAGAAATAAGGATATAATGTGGGTTTTTGTCGTTTATTTCGAAAAAGGCAATAATTTCTCAAAGATAAGAAGTTGGTTCTCGTTTAAAATCCGCTTGATGAATTTTTTGTGCATTCAGTACGTTTGTACTTCCTGGAGAAAATTTACTCCAATATTTTTTAAGCTGTTACAATCTATGTGACGGAGTGGCGTACGAAGTTTCGTCGAGATATGAACGAAAAGGAAAACGCAAGTAGTGCTATAGCAACAGATTCGCTGTTGAATTATGAGACGGTTAAGTACTATGGGAACGAGAAATACGAAGTGGATCGCTTTCGACACTCTATAGAAAGGTGTGTTTTGCGTCTTAAAGATCTCTTGTTGATTTACAGCCAAGTGTTAGTGAGTTGTAAAACCTAAAAGGTGTTTATTCCCTAGTTCTTTTCTCAGATTAGCCAACCGACAAAGTGTTTTTTTCTCTTTTCTTCAATATTCCTCTATTTTAAGGTTTTTAAGGGTTCAAAATGCTCATGACTTGAAGGTGAATGTTTAATTCCTCGTAAGAAATCAATAGAATTGGTTGGAAGGTCCACTGTATTCTTCACATTTTTCCGTATTTCTTGCTGTGAAGATTTTCTTTATTCCAATGTGAATATGATGGAGGTTTAACTTTTACTATTTACATGGGTAGTAAACCTATTGTTGACTCTCAGTAGTGTAGTCGATCCTTATGGAAGCGAAGCATTACTTGTTTGGCCATATCGGTACAACATCAGCAGTTGGTTATTAGATGTTGAGAGCGTTGATTAATGGAGGAAATATGTTTATGAGCAAATAAGTACGAAGACAAAGCACACAGAGGTCATAAATTATGCACTGTTCTAGAGTTTTCTATTTTCTTCTCTTCTTCCTCACATCAAGGCTTTAAGCTTTGCTCTATATGATTATTTATTGTAGTTTTCAACTTGCTGAATGGCGTTCAAACGCATCGCTGGCGTTATTGAATTTTTTGCAAAACAGTTTGATCGGTATTAGCATGACTGTCGGTTCGGTGTTGATTGCTTATCTCATCGTTAAGGATAACGAGCTCACTGTGCGTGTTTGTTCCTTAGTTCTTTTATGATGACATTTATCCTCAGCTTAATAATTTAATGGTGCTATTCTTAGGTGGGCGATTATGTGTTGTTTACCACATACATCCTTCAATTGTACGCTCCGTTGAACTTTTTTGGAACCGTCTACAGGTTAGCTGAGTTCCACTCGTATTTTTTCCATATTTGTACATATGGTTCTTTTTATTCTTTTCTTAATTGGAAAGTTTAACACGTACTCCTGAACTTAGTATTTTGGCAACTGCAGTGCTTTCCTGACAATCAGAAAATTTGAGGAGTTGTAAGCGTTGCATGTCTAAATAAGAGACTACTGTTTTGGCTTACTTCTTTGTATCTTTCTACGGCATTGTTTCAATTTTAATTTTTCTTTCAGATTTAACATTTAACAGAAACCAAGGAACAAACTGAACTTTTTGAAATATCAAACGGAAGCGCGGTTGTTGAGAAAATGAATTTAGTGAATGGATACAAATATGAATTTAATGAGTATGAAACTGAGAAGAACCTGAGGAACACGGTTTTGTCCTGTTCGGTGGAATCTCGAAAAATAAATCCATTGCGTTATTGTCTGAAGTATTAGTTTTGACGCAAAAAAATAACATAAATATGTTTCGTAGGCTCCAGAAAATCAGGACACATCTTGTTTGCGCCTACAAATGTATTGGAGGCTGAGGCCAAAATCTATGTAAATAGCTCATTGTTTTAATTTAGGACAATTCAAAGGTCGTTTATTGATATGGAGAATATGTTCGATCTAATGAACCAAGAGGTTGATGTGAGTTTTGGATTAGAGTTAAATATGACAATGACTCTACAAAGTCAGTTACTTTCTCAAATTAGGTAGCTTCATCAGCAGTTAGTAGACATTTATTAACTCTGTTGATTTGTGCTGGATATATTTTGAATATAACTAGATATTAATCACAGATACCACTTGTTCTCTTGTTGATCGTTGAGTGGCTAGAGCAAGCCCCGTTGAAGTTTCCATTTGTCTCTGCCGCGCTAAAGAATAGTCGTCGTGGGTCCTCTTCATCGTTGAATATCACAGTTTTCTTTCAAGATCTTTATGAGGAATTCTCATTGCTGAGTGGACGGTCTTTCTTTTTTGCAGTTTACATTCCTTTCATGAAGGCGCTAACAGTGGTTCAGCGGTTGTCGTTTTGATGCCCCACGTATTCGGAAAACCTGATTTTTACCGTTCTGGCGACGCATTTGGTTCTGATCGTTGGCATAGTCGAAACTTCGGATTCTCTGTCTCATTGCCTCAGTACGGGTTACTCCCAGCATCACTCTGTCGACCACGCATTGCGTAGCGCCGAGTTGTGCAAAATCCTCTATGTAGCAATAAGATTTCCAATGCCTTCGCCCAGGCAAGAAGATTTGTAATCAAGAAGGTGTCATAAAGTCATGGGATCTCTGTCCTCTGCCACATCCTCGGTGCTTTCGAAAGCTCCCAAGATAATCTGTTCCTCATATTTAGCTCTGGAAATAGGTCTTTCATCATGTTGAATTATTGATCCTGCTATACGTAACTCTACCATTGTGAGGTGGTGACTTCATTGAGCGTTAATGTCTACTGTCACGCTTAATAAGAGGTGGTAATAAAAGTCAGCTCCATGAACTTGGTCAACATTGTTTCGTTATCAGGGGAACGAGAATTCAAAATGGTAAAAATGCCACTTATGAACACGGAACACTTGTGTGCAACGACTGGATAGGCCCATTTCAATTGTTCTTTCTCGCATCCACTATGAATGTCTTTGCATTCTTTTCTCTTTCCATGATATTGGCAGTTTGGCGACGGTTAGCTGTAGCTATGTGTCAATCGATCTCATAACATTTTTTAAAGAGTTACGAAATTCTGCATCATGCTTAGTGTGCCCTCCCAACGGTTTGCCCCCTCATCGTGGCTGGAGGTGTTCCTGGGTGTAGGACTGCGATGTACAGCGGGGGATTCATCCCCTGGCAAGGTCTCCCAAGTTGAGTAGTCCGGCGTTTCCATCAGGAAACCTAGCTAAGAGTTAACCAATACCAGGATCCACCACCGTCCTGGTGTCAAAGTCGCATGATGTTAAATCTCCCTCTGATCCACAAGGGCTGGAACTGCCCGTGATGGTAAAGACCTGGGGCAGATTTTGGCTAGGCTGACCTCAGGACTCCAGGGAACCGTAATGGCATAACCAGCAAATCTCCGAAAAATGGAGGTTATGCTGGGGTCCGCACAACCAGTGAGGACGGGCCATTCAAGTATCAAGTATCAAGCAAACTTAGTGTGCCATTTGATTATGTGCAGGCAGGGTGACGTTTAGAGTTCGTTGCACAAAACGGAAAACATTACGACGGGATTTTTTCGATCTATCCTTGAAACTGCTCATGACAACTTTTCTAAAAGCCATGGAAATCGTCCTCATGATACTTGTTTTTTATCAAAGTGTTCCTCGTAGTTTTTGTATTCATTACTGAAAGGATTATTTACTGCGCTACTGTATCTATTTGCTGCTTTCACTTGTCTTTACTGTATTTACTGTGCTGTATTTATTTTATTTACTGGATTTACTGTATTACTAATTACTGTATTTGTTAAAAATTACTAGTTTTTGTCGGCTTTTGAATTGATTTTCGAGTTCTTGCGTCATTTGGTAGCCAGCGGAAGGTTGTTAGGTAATATTTACTTACCGTTTGTATACTCCTGGAGTTCGGAAGTGATAACGGCTTTCTTTGTTTTCCGGTGTCCATTGATCGCTTTTGGTACAAAAATGTTTTTGGTAACTTTTTTGTTTTTTGCCTATTATTTTTTTTATGCCAAGGTATTACGTGGAGTACAGCCCCAATGGTTTTGAGTCGGAAAGGTGAAGGAAAGACATTGCGAAGGCCTCAGTGTTGCGGTAGGCAACACTTGAGCCGCCGGGAACAGTAATCACGGGTTCGAATCTCGCCTTGGGTCTGGGTCTTGCAAAAATATCGGCATCATTGTGGATGAGTATGGTGTCTAGCGACCATCTCTTTCCAAACGTAACCAAAAGCGCTAACGCTGGCATTTGCTTTCGGAAGGGTGTTTCGTTTTCTGGATTATATTGGGTTTTTCCCAGCATGGATAAATATCTCCAAAACTTTACCGTTGTACAACGATTCATTAAATTTTTATTTCGTTCCTGAGATCCTAGAATTGAAATTTTAGGTAATTTTTAGGTTAGTATAAATAGCACCAACATCGGTAAAGCTTGTAGAAGATTTTGAAGGTCTCTTTTCTTTGAAACGATCTGCAAGAGATCCAATACAGTGGGGAGAAGCTGTTGCCATGTCCTGAGCATTTTAAAAGTTCATGTATTTGGCTTCATTTCCCGCAGTTCCAACCAACTTTAGAACCATAGGCGCATGTGCTTGACGGTGATGCATTTCACACTGCCACATTGTTTCCTCAAGGAGGCGTTGCCTAGCTCCATCGGAATTAGTATCTAGGAACAGAAAATAATTAGGCTAGAATCTTCGATTTGAACTGGAATTTTGGTATCATATCTGGTTTTTGCTAATGTATTATCATTTTATAATGAGCAACAGTATAGGTTGCCTACCTTTTTTAAAATTTTTCTTAAGGGAACAAATGGTTGTGTTTTAAAGGAGGCAGAAGGCGATTTCAGGTTGTTGATAGTCCTAACGCTATTGATTACCATCCGACTGGTGGCAAGATTTCGGTGAGAAACCTAACGTTCGCCTATAACGAGAACCGAATCATTTTGGATGGAATCTCATTCGAGGTCGGCAGTGGTCAGTCCATTGCTCTGGTAAGTGGCGTTGATCTATTCTTATATTGGTGGAGCCGTCATTGATCATAATTAATCAAAATTACTTTTGAAGGTTGGTCCATCGGGCAGTGGGAAAAGCACATTGATTCGGCTTCTGTTCCGTTTGTATAATTGTGAGGAAGGAAGGATCTTTTTTGACAATCATGATGTTAGACATTTGAAACTTCGTACATTGCGTAACCAGATCGGAATCGTCCCACAAGACACTGTGCTCTTTAACGATACCATAGGGTAGGAATTCCAAACTCTGTGTTATTCAGGGATCTAAAAGTCTGACGTAATTTTTTTCTCTGGTGGGCATCTTCTTTACTCTCTGTTATTTAAATGCCTTATTGCATTTCGTGTTTATATGGTTTGCGCAGGAACTATTTCAAATTAATGTTTTGTACAGACAGCAAAAGTACTCTTATGGTAGTAATTCCCCCGACCGACTTTCTGTTAACCTCGAAATTGATCAAATAATTCTTATGTTCTTGTTGAGCAAACACGAGGTGTTATTTATTCTTTATTCACTAAAAAGCTGACTTTTGGCGGATTTCGCCGATTTCGGATTTCGATTTTGGAATTCTTATGGTAGTCATTTCATCAAGAATACAACTTATTATTTCACATGCTCGGTCCATGGTCTTTATTACTTTCCTCATGTAGCTATAATATACGCTTTGGTCGTCCTACGGCCACAGACGAAGAAGTGCGGGAAGCTGCAAAAGCCGCAATGATCCACGATAAGATCATGACTCTTCCCAATGGTAAGTATTGTGCTGTATAATCTACATACATCACATTGGAGACAGGTGTTTTCCCAAACTCCTCCAGGTTACGATACATTGGTTGGCGAGCGAGGTCTGAAATTGTCCGGCGGAGAGAAACAGAGAGTCGCCATCGCACGAACAATCCTCAAGAAACCGCAGTTCATCTTTCTGGATGAGGTATCGTGTATTAGCTTGTTTTTTTTACATGAACAACTTCAGAGACCTGTATTACGTCCAAATCCCTTCATATCTTAGAATGATTTGTATAGGCAACCTCTGCGCTAGACACACATACCGAGCGGGCGATTCAGCGATGTCTAGAACAATTGTGCGCGACGCGAACAGGCGTCGTCGTGGCTCACCGTCTCAGTACAATAGTAAACGTCGACTGCATTCTTGTCCTAGACAAAGGCAGAATAGTAGAGAGAGGACGGTGAGTTTTATACATGACTCACCTTATATCAACGATGGAGCATAGGGCTTTCGTTTTTTTTTCTGGGTAGCTTACCGAATCCCGATAGTGACCTTTGAAATTGCTCTTATTTACTATACCAAGAATAGGCAAGGAATTCAGTTACAGGAAATTTGAAAAGTGATAGTATTAGTTAAGAACTGATAGTGAAACTATTTGAAAAGTCTTGTATTCGTTCTTTATATTGTGCCACATAGTAGATGGTGTTAAGAGCAAGGTTGCAACAAACCATCAGAAGTAACGGAATGGCAGTTGTCTTCGAATTATCTTTTTTGCAGACATACTGATTTGATAAATGCTAAAGGTGTCTACTACCAAATGTGGGAGAGTCAGAATTCGAATGAAAATGACACTGAAGCATCATGTTAACCATGCTGTGGAACAATGGAAGACTGCTTTGCATCCTTTTCTGATTGTTTTTCTCAATGAAAATCATATAATTTTATTTCCATTGTTATTGTTCTTATGTTTTTATCATTGTACCAGACTGTTTATCTTGGTTATCTCAGAGTTTATTTTTAAAATCAAACGCCGTCGGAGTAGTCATTTAATGAATCCCGACAGTTACAGCTAGGTCTTCTTGTTGAGCAGCTTATATTTTGTGTTTTGAGTTATATCCACTAGTAAATCGATGTTATATACGATTCCACTAGTTTAAAATTCCTAGGACAAAACTGGGTTCGTGTCTGGATTAGCTAGAATTTCTGAGAGCATCCATCTTCAAGTCGGTTATTTAGTTGTGCCATTATTATGTGAGTTATCCCATCTTGTTAATGTGCTCACTAAAAGGAATAACATATACTGTCATGATGGTGGGATGGACATGAGGGAGATGGACCATGGTAGATTCTACATAATAGATATCGTTTCTTTATGAGTGGAATTCCAGCTAAGTTAGTATGTATTGTGGCACAAATTATTCTAACAGCAAACGGTTTCCATTCTTCAATATTTATTTCTTCTGATGTGTCAGTGCTGGTCAAGAATTCCAAAGTGCTTAAGCAACTTATGAAAAGTTTGCTCTTGTAACAGAGACGAAACGGAAAGATTTGGCGACCAGAATACTGTAAGTTGGAAGCCAATCTAGCAGTCCAGTTTCTTAATCCTTACGGTGAAGACGTTACCTCTACAGGAGTCATACAATGCGAAAGTGATGGTCGCCTTCAACATTAAATCAAAGTACCTCGACTCCTAGTAGATTTTGTCAATAGCAATAAATATTTTTGGAATCTGCAGATCTTTTTTTACACGAAACGAATTATATTATTGTACTAAGGTAAGAGCCTAATTTCCTAAAGACCATGGAACCTATTTTTCATTCACTTTTTTGTTGAAGGGCTCTTAATTTGAAAACAGAAAGGGATGAACCTACAGGGTTTCGTCCAGCAGGACACTAAGATGTTTTGCAGTTTATCCTTTATGTTTGCAACTGCCAATATTGCAGCAGCAAGAATGTTGAGATTTGTACTCCCCAGATCACTTTTCTTCATAGGCGATTGCTGCTAACACCGTAGAGTAAACTGGGCAAGAGAAAGGCAAAGCACGGGCGTCTATTGATGTGGTGGATAGCCAGTTAGCACCCGGAAAGCGTAGTTGCGGATTCGAAGTTCAGCAAAGATTCCGAATCTTCATTATGCTTCAGTATCCTCGCGGTTCTTTTACACACTGCCCTGAAAAAAGAATAAGTACCAAATAAAAGTTAGACGCTGTAATGCCTCCATTGTGTGGAAAACTTTAAGGCTTCATGTTTTCAATTATGTGAATGTTTCAATTCTAAACACTCTGAAACTGCAATGATACTCTATTTTGAGAAATAAATATGTACTTGGAGTGGTAAGGAAAAGTCTGTTCTATCAATCTATAAAGTTACGAGCTACTGAACTGCTCTAGCGACTGAGAAATTATCAACCCTTGTGGAAAAGCCATTTTCATCACGAAAGGGTGAAATCAGTGGACGAATAGTTCCACAGTTCACAACGAGCACCAGTTGACACTCCTATTTGAACAAAACGCATTTCGCCACGTCATAACAACCGATGAGCATCCAGGTGGGCTCAATATGTGCTATTTCCCACTTTATTGCTTCTTTCTCTCCGTTCACATTTTTGCACTTTACAGCCGCCAAGCGCATTTTGGCCGATCATGCTCAATCGATGAAGCTGGCCTGAAGGCGGATCGCAATATCCAGAGCGATTTCTCCAGAGACGACTGTTCGCCGCTACGACTGCTTGTCGTCGGCGTTTTATTTTTTCTTCTAGCGCTCCCAGTTACTGGCGATTGCCGGAAATTGTGGTCGTCGACAGATTTCTTCATCGTGTATGTCGTCTACACGTGAGACGATTCAACGCTTTAATGCTGTAGCAGCAAAAAATGAAGAGAATTTGAAGAAGTTGGTTCCGCTCTTTCCTTCGCTTCTAACGTTTACTTCATACGAATTTGATTGAACTGTTTAAAACGAATTTCTCCTCTGAGAGCCTATTTTATGGTCTTCATGATTTAGTAAAGCGGCAAGAGATCAAGCGTAATAGACGGGAAAAAAATAAAAGAAAGTTTCCACACATTTGTTTTACGTTGGTAATAAGTGGAAGTGAAGCAAAAAATTGGTTACGGGATTCCCGACCTTCTACTTTCTGAAGTTCTTTTCCGCTCATCTTTTGCGTTTCAGTTGTCTATAGATGCTCTTACTAACCTTAGGATATGTAAGACCGTATCGGAGCTTTGTGAGCTTCCAACACTGTCGTCTTATTTTAATTTTTAGAATACTTTTACATGTGATACCCAGTTTTCGACTGCCTTATTTGTTGTGTTTATAAGTGTGCGCTACGTACAGATTACTTGCAATTTATCTCTTGTACGAATAAATAACTAAATAAAAAGAACTGATTGCTGATGGCACTGATCGATAGCTGAGAAACATGCGAAACGAAGGACCCACGTGGTGTGGTGGTGAACGCGTTAGCCCCCGGAAAGGGTAATAGCGCGTTCGTTCCACAGCGCAGACATCTGCGGTTCAGTGTTTTGCAAATATCACAGCATCGTTGTGGTTGAGTCACATATAATATCCTGCCGCGAAAAATTGTAATAGGCAGTAAATAAAATGTTGACACTGTAAATAAGGAAAACTTTTGCCAATTCTAAGAGAAATGTCGAAAGAACTACTGTTTTTGCTCGTTTTTCTTGGTTGTTATGTTATCCAAGATCTCCACGGCTTTTCTCCGGACGATCTCCACATTAAAGCACTCGCGATGCTCGTTGATTTTCGTGGCAATGCAGTTTTTCTGTTACTTCGCTCCTTCATCTTCACCAGGTGCGATGCTTATACTGGCGTACTACTTCATCGCCCACCATCCGCCTTGAGAATATCTTCAAAAGAAAACGATTTGAGAGAAATAAAAATGACTACCTTTCATATTTGTGCTTTTTTAGATCGATTATTCCGCGTTGCTGTCAAATTGACCTCAACAGCTGTTCGATCGGCATAACAAATTCTATGACAATCGTTGAAAACAAGTAAACGCGATATGCCTCGCTTTTGTGTATGCATAAGTATTGAGATGTATGGCGTCGTACAATATTTTATTGGCCAAAATTTGACTACCCCGGTTGATTCCACAATGATCGTAGCTGAAATCCTCCATTTTTTGTTTCCCTCGGGGCTTAGAAATAGATAGCATATGTGTTTAATGAGTACCCAGGAAGCCACCATAGATGCGCAGTCCATCGCCAAAAACAAACTATGTAGTCTTAATCTATATGTAACGATTCAGCTAACTTCATTTCGTTTTTTACATCTTTATGATGTTCGGATACTTTTTTCTTTTATTCATTTCACTGTAGAGGACTACTTAGGAATATACGTATCGATAAAGGATAAAAGCGTAAAGCTCTCGGCGTTGATCAATCCCTGAGGGATGCGCCATGCATTCGACTTCATTAAGCATCGCCGGAGGTGATTGAATGCATATCTGGCCTTTTACAATGATTCGCAGTGGCCTACCGATGTATCGAGCCAGTGCTACTATCCTCTCTGACAAGTATGGTAACAATTTGCCTATTCCGGATGGATGGAAGGCTTGGTGGGTCATGAGCCCGCGGATCGCTTCCACGTGTGTGTTGTAGGACGCCTCCGACCACTGCTCCACACGCGTCCATACAGATAGCGATAGATTTACGAAACTCGAACAAGTTACTTTTTTATGATAATGTTAAGAGCATTGACTAATTCGCAGGAACGACATTCTATTAATCTCGACATTGTTCGATAAGTCAGTGTTTCATTCTCGCACATGGGGTTTCTGGCGTTTCGGTGGTTTTTTCTGTTTGGGTTATGAGGGTGTGGCGCTGAGTGGATTGCGCGCAAATTTGACCTTTCCAGGCTCTGAAGAAAACGAAACCGCCGAAACGTCAGCCAATATTGAATAAATCTTCGTATTAACAACCTTGTATCTACTCGAGAAGAAAACACTTACAGTGCCAAATGACGTAGATACGTAAATTTTCCGCCCACCGCAGTCTTGGGAAGAACAGGACTCTCATTCGGTTCCTTGCATTTAGGCCACGTGTGGCCCTGTGCTTCAACATATCTTGCAGAGCATATATGGCCATTGGTTAGAGGAATGCTGCCGCTAACGATTATTGTCCATTAGCTGTCCTTTTCGACATTTTGGAGTATAGAACGGCTTTTGTGATCTTTGGTCGTTCGCGTAGGTCAGAACTTCGGAATCCTACTCCCATTTGAATGTTGTAGTGAACTTCTGTCATCGCCTTCTCGCTTGCGTGTTCCATAACGTTGAGTGATCTTTAATTCTGCTTACGTAGCGGTTGAATTTATGTACTTTTTGAATTTTTATGAAAGATTTAAGCACGCTTAAGCTAAGGTACGTGCAATGGTAAAGTTTCGCGATGAAGTCTGGCAATGGAAGTTTACAGAAAATCCTTTGCTCTATCCTTCTGTTGGCAAATACGTATGTCATAATTGTGCTGTAAAGTCGAACTCACGGCAGTTAAGCTGCAAGAGAAAAATTATGTAATGACGATCGAATTTTTTTTGTGAATGTTGGAATGGAACTATCTCCTTGGCTGTGGCACTACTCGAGGAGAAAAACCATCTAATTGGCGCATGCATACGTGAAGAACAGGAAAGAATTCCCAATGCGGGTTCTCTGTCAAAAGCTGAGAAGACGAGAAATAGTTCGAGGATATTCTGATCTGCATCTGCTGAGAGAAAGGTAAAACAAAGGATCCGTATAGCGTGGTGGTGAATGCGTTACTCCACCTCCCTCCGGAATGGGTAATAGCGGGCTCAATCTCCACGTCAGACACCTGTTGCTCCATTCCAGCACAATTTTCATTGCTTTCTATCTCGTGCTGGCATCGTTGGTGATGGTAGTCTGCTTCAAAACGAGTGATTTTCGAGAGTCTTGTATCTTGACATGTCCGGAGCTTTGCAGATGCCTCCGCATCACTGTCATATTACACATCGTACCCCGCCATGAAAAGAGAATAAGCAGTAGATAAGAAGTGACTACACTCTGAGGATAATTGGACCGGCATTATAATGCTCAAGTGGGAAGAAAAAAGGGACACAATTATTTCGACCTCGTCTCACGTGTCCTTTTGCGGCAGTTCTTTAAGACAAAAAGAAGTCGACGACTGCAGTGGTTGAAAACTCTGTGGAGAACAGATGCTGTTCTAATCTCTATATATCCGGAGATAACAACTCTTCTGTATATTTTAAGACCTTTTTGTAGCGAAGACATTTTTCCAAGTATCGAACTTTACTAATCAGCTCTATTCCCTTCACAACAGGTAAGTCTGGTTACTGGATATAGCTCTTCACTAGCAATAGTTTCTTTGACGAATGAAAAGAAACAAGCTCTATGGAAGTGTTTTTTTTTGCAAATTACTAGGTGTCCAGATGGATCTTCATTTCCAATATATCTTAAAATATGTGTGTTCGACAGGTTATCGATTGTTTACAAAAAGTTCTAAAAAATTCAATGCACCACGGTGGAGGGCTAGAAAGAAAATGACCTTTATAGGAGTCATTCTAGCTACATTGTCCTCTCACGTATGACTCCGTATGAAGTCAGGTTGTCACGAATGTTTTAAGAAAAATTGAAAGTAAAAATTTACTTAATAATGCTTGCGTTATTAACCCACTTGACGGCAAAATAATCCTTATCTATTTCTGTCCCGTCTCGTTTACAGCTAAAAACAAAAAGTTGCAAAAATTCTTCCGCAGTTTAAGCAGGTTAGTTTGTCTAGTTTTAGTTGTAGAGGACTAAAAAAGTTTTCAAGTCATGCTTCTTATGCATACCATTAGTCGCTTAACTCGGAAACACTTACCACACAGTCCGAAATGGGACTGGATGCATGCACATTCCCAACATGGTGACTAATGACGTTCAGTAGTGCAGCAGCGGTTCACTCTCATTATCCAAGACGTTTGATGCCCAAAAATGTAAGGTTCGCTCAAGATCTCTATTTAGAAATCCGTATTCGGAAACATACGGAGTGCAACGGTTCGATAAAACCGCGCACGACTACGGTCGACCGCCTCCGGGCAGCAAAACCGAAGCACGTGGGATCAAGGTTAGAAAGTTTTCCCTTTTGACAAAGATTTCATGAAGGAGTTGGAAGTATCGTGTAAGCCTGCGGTTGCAGTTTTGCTGCGAGATTTTGCAAATGTTTGATCGATTATCGATTGACAAATCAATATAGCCCGTTCTAGTTGCAAAATAGACAAATTTTTTTTCCTGAGACTCTATTGACCATATGTCTTTTTTTGCACAATCCTGTAGAGTGGTTTATTAATGAGTCCGTTAGACTGTTTTGTTTTAGGCCGGGGTACATGTGTGTCGTGAAATCCTATACCTCTGCGAGGTCATCAACCAGCACGCTGAAGGTGAAGAACCGAACAAGTGGATTAAATTCGGCAGATTGTTCTATATCTACTCATATTATTCAGATAAGGTATAACTACCACTTTGTTATCTTTATGAAAGCGTAACATAACGAACTTTGGAATAGAATCTTTATACGGATGATGGTGCCTGGTGATCAATATTGAGACGTTTACCAAGCGTGGTAACCAACAAATGGAAACAAGTAAAGAGTTAAGAGGAAACTTTCTGCAAGAGATGGTTTACTACCTGTAATTCATGGATTTCAACTTGTCCTACAATGTTTTACAACCTCGTTGTGGTGAAAAAGAATTTACTCAGCCAATTATAGCACGCGGATAGCACAGTGGTAGTGATGTCCGTAATCACGAGCACGGTGCTAATTCGATTCAGCTCCGGGCCAACCAAGCTTCTCATCCTTCCGAGGTCGTGTACCGGACTTGTCTGGAAAAAAAGTCACTCTGTAATCCAGTTGGGAACGCTGCAGCCCTGCTATCTCAGGACTCTATGGGGACTAGGACTCTAATTGCTCGACGCTCATTCTACAACATTCAAGATGAAATGGTAATCCTTAAGAAGCAACCGAAGCCATATGCGAAAAGTCCGAGTAGGATGATGTATGTGGGAAACGAATCGAATATGAGAAGTGCTGTGATCCGCGCAGTAGACGTGAAGACTGATCAAATAAAAGTAAAAGTAAGAAAAAATTATAATAGGCAGTAAATGCAAAGGTTAACATTGAGTAGTGATGAGTCGAAAACAAGAAAGGTTTCTGATCGGTTACTTTTTTGGCTCGTCTGAAAGGTCCAAACGCCTCACATGCTGTTCTCCCTGTCCTATGTAAATCTTAATTCGTGTTGTTCTCCCTATTTTTTGAACGTCTAAGGTAAACGTAGGAGGTGACTTCTGAAGTCAGAAAACCATCCAGTTCGATTTATTCACCTTTGAACCATGAATTCTTCACCGATTTATGCGTAATCCAGTTATTTTTGTTACTTCATTGAGCTCGTCGTTTCTGCTTCACTGGTTGTATTTCTCGAAAAGACGACATAAAACAATCAATTGAGGAAGTACTGGAGCTGTAAAAAGCCATGTGCTTCAGTGTACGTTGTAGTTCTTGGAAAGACCGACTCTGAACTACTCTGCGCATTAACAAAAGAGCAAGGACTAATCTGGGACATCTTGTAGTAACTTCCAAGTTCGACTTTCTATTAACCTCGGCATTGATTGAATAATTCTTTCAACTTCTGTTCAGCAAACACGAGGTGCTATTTTATTTCTTCGTTTATGTACAAGCTGACGTTTCGGCGGATTTCGCCTTCCTCAGAGCCTGGAAGGGTCAAGTTGACAGCAACCTATTCGGCCAAACACCTCCATAATCAAACAGATAAAACGCTAAACCAAGATTCCAATCACATTTAACACAACTCTGCACACTCACCGATTTCTATGAGTCTTCAACTGAGTATGTCATGTGAAAACCGACCGCACAGAATTCACATGGAAGCGTAATGTGCCCCTCCCATCAGAATAACAGGTTTATATGCTGTTCAATATCACGCGTGATAAGGAGGCATTCAAAGAAATAAAATAGCACGTGTTTGCTGAACAGAAGTAGAAAGAATTATTCAATCAATGCCGAGGTTAATAGAAAGTCGGAAAGAGTTACTACAAGATGTACCAGCAAGATATTTCCGACTTGCAAAAGAAGCACTGTCACTAAGACAAAAGATCGCCTTAGCTCGACAAGCGATACACTTTCTCCGCCGCTGCATAAAACACCAAGTCGTTCCGAAATTCATAAAAAGAAAACGACTACACGAAGTATGCGGACTGCCAGAGGGTGGCCACCGAATACTTGGACATCGAATTGCATGTACTACGCACTTGTCTACGAAGCAAACAGAGCCAGATGTTCGCCAAGTGGAAGAAGTGCGAGAAGAAAGAAAGCTATTGTGCTCAGTATTTGGAGGACCGCCCCTGGAGGAAAATAGTGGGTGGGTCAGTGTTGATATGCAACTCTGTTAGGTCTAATGCTTAAGTAACTTTGCGCAGAAAATTCGAAGACCTTTCGAGTAAATCGCATAACACGGCTTCAAGAGCATACAGAAACACCGCCAACGAAGATCAAACGAGTCACAGTAAGATAAATAATGTGTACAGAAATTCAAGGTTAAGCGTACTAGGAGGCATGATCCTCCTTAACGGTGCGCGCTCGTTATTAGAATTGGGACCGAGTTTCTCACCATCTGAACCTATTTCTAAAATAACCTTGCGTAGGGTCGGTTGTAGTTTACATGAACTTCAAGATAGACTCCGCAAAAAAGCTAGAGATGAAGCGCTAAATAGGCGCGAACAACAAAAAGTAGGGGCAATACCAGTACCCCCATTTCCTCAACCGTTCTTTAGACAACAAGAGCCCAATAATGAAGTTGACATTAAATTTCGGTCGTTTGCGAACGAAACTTTCAAAGTCCTTAATTACTATCGCGCGAAAAGATACAGCTCAAACTTCACTGAAGTGCAAAAACGTGGTATGCGAGAGGTACGAAAGCTGATAAGATCGAAAAACAAGACTATCGGTTAGTGATAAGGGTGGAGAGCTCGTTGTAATTTCCCATCAGTTAGATGTTTAGATAACGGAAAAGCACCTTGATGGTAAACAACAAATGGGTTGAAGTGGCAAGACCGGCTGGGTTAAAACCATCAGTTATCTCTCATCTCAAAACTGACTTACCAACATGTCCCGTCTTGTACTTACTTATAAAAACTCATAAGTTAGTATCCAGCGATGATCTCGTGTCTACCGATCCATCGTTATTTAAGGCTAGACCTATTTGATTAACTGCGTGGACAGGCCAACGGATAGAATAACGTGCTTAATAACCCTAATACTTACTCAGTTGTTGAAACACATTCCAGCCCATCTTACGAATACCCAGATGTTTCTGGATCGTCTACGTACTGCGCAGCCCAACAGCGCGTGCGTGATCGAGTCCTTCGACGTTACCGCCCTTTATACAAACGTGTCGTATGACTCAGCAATGCAAGCCATATTTGAACTCCTTATACAACACGAAGGAGATATAAACATGTATGGCTTCAAGATAGAGCAGTTGATGACACTCTTAAAAGAATGCTTGAGCTGCTCAATCTTCAGATGGTCTGGAAAGTACTACGCTCAAATAAGAGGGTTGGCAATGGGACAACGACTGGCTCCAAGCCTTGCCATTGCATTTACGTCTTAGGTGGTAGCACCAGTGACCGATCTCGGGCCGAGAAACCAAAAGAAAAATGGCTTCCATTCCTGAAAGTCCAAATTAACCTGTCAGAAAATGGCTACACTACGAAGTAGTACCGAAAGTCAAGTAGTAAAAACATCTTGGTTCATTACCTTTCCTCTCACCCCTCTCACACGAAAAGGGCGCTTGTCAGAAACATGTTTCGAACAGCAACCAACGTGTGCACGGGAAGAGAGCAGAGAGAGGGGTCCCGGAACTTGGCACGCAAATAGCCATTCCTAATGGCTACGAAGCTGTAGCTCAGGGTAGGTGTAGGGAAAACCACAGGTACCCAAGCGATAACTCTAGCGACAACAAGGTCGCGTTTATACAGCCCTTCATTTCAAATGAAGTAAGTGCAGCTATAAAACGCTGTTTAAGAAGGGCCAGTCTAGAGAATTCGGTAACGTTAATCGAAATACCACCGAGTAATCTAAGACGCCGGCTTGTTCGTGACCGCCTATACGACGGTGTATGTGCAACGCAAAATTGCATAAATTCCCCTAACGGTAGAGACGGTGACTGCGTGAGTTCGGGTACAGTCTATCTGATCAATTGTAAAGGGTGCTGAGACAAATACGTTTGCGAAACGGGTAGACCATTCTGCGTACGTATAAAAGAACACCCAGTTGGCAAACGTAAGCCAAGTACTACTAGGCACGCATAGGACGCAGAGACATAACGGAGAAGATTTTGAAGTAAGGGCTACGATCCTCGCGCAGAGTCGAGAACACAAACGCGCAAAACTCTAGAGACATTCTGGATTAATTCCAGGAATCCGAAAATGAACCGCAAGGAGGAATGCCTCATTATCACGCCTGATATTGGACAGTATATAAACTTGTTATTCTGATGGGAGGGGCACATTACGCCTCTATGTGAATTCTGTGCGATCGGTTTTCACACGACATACTCAGTGGAAGACTCATAGAAATCGGTGAGTGTGCAGAGCTGTGTCAAATGTGATTGAAATCTTGGTTTAGCGTTTCTCTGTTTGGTTATGGAGGTGTTTGGCCGAATAGGTTGCTGTCAACTTGACGTTTCCAGGCTCTGAGGAAGACGAAATCCGTCGTAAACATCAGCTTGTACGTAAATAATGAAATAAAATAGCCCCTCGTGTTTGCTGAACAGAAGTAGAAAGAATTAATCTGGGACAACCTTGCTTGTTCTGGTCAACGTGGGAACGCCCTAGTACCGCTTTTTCAGGTTTACAGAGAGAATCGGTTCGGTCAGCCTTTAAACTGTATTCATAAGAAAAAAATCCTAAACTTGCAGCCAAACCCACAGGCAAATGTTCGAAGACCGTCGTGGATGGTGTATGCGAAGAAACAAATCGAATGAAAGACGTGATGGGATACTCCCAATATCGTACAGGTGGTATCAGATGAGTAATAGAAATGTTAGTAGTCGAAGTAATTTGCCTTCAGCCAGTTTTCTTACCCGGAGGGTGCCATCAGCAATCATCTCTCAACGGGAATGATCTGGTGAGCACAAGTCAGCATTAAACCCTATAGCTGAGGCTGCAGTCAAAATCACAATATATAACCTTTTGTTTACTGCCTATTATTTTCTCATGGCAGGATATCATGCGAGGCACAACGAAAGTTATGCCATGATATTTGCAAAACTCAGACTGCACAGCAGATTCGCACTTTCGATTACTCTTTTCGTGAGCTCATGTGGCTAGGTGTAAGGCTAAAAAGTTACACATTGCGATTATGATAAGTGCGCGTTTTATTCGTTTCTTGTGTACCTTTATATCCTTTCTTTCAGCTTAAATTTATTTCCGGTAACC